ATCACATAATCAGTGTTTTAATGGATTAAAACCGTGTGCCTGGGCGAAAATGTCCTGTTTTCTCCCCGCTATTCCTTCATCCAAGAAGCCCTTTTTAGACTATTTGACAAAAGTGGATGTGTAATTGAATTCAGGAACAGCATCAGATGACACACAGGCTGTCATATGTTAGTCAAAAAAAAAGAAAAATAGTTACCATAACAACTGACTCACCACTTGTGTTTCCAAGAGGGAGAACATCTTAAAGGAGAATGCCACAGGTCAGTCCTGTGCGTGTTTGTGCTGTCAGGGAATGGGCAGGAACATTGTTTTCATGGTGCCAGGAATGATGGGGGGGTTCTTACTCAACTAAGGATTTGGTACCAGAAATAAGATTGTGCTTCTTAGATGATCATGTCCATAACTGGAAGCAATAGAAAATAAGTATATTTAAAAACAAAATGAAAAGTCCCGAGTACTGGATTTTCCAAACATATTGGGGACCACTCTTTTTTTTTCTGTTAGAATTGCTGCTTTTACTTTTCTTTGGTTCATTGCTGAGGACCTGAACCTGCTCATGGCTGAAGTGTAGGAGTTTTACCTTTGACATCTGCGTTTCCCTGATCAAGCCCTGACATGATTTATTTTGTATTTTGTGTCAGCCCCTCTGAGCCAACTTCAAAGCCACTTCCCCAGACGTGTTTCCTGCGTCTCCACTGAAGCCCTTGGTGCTAAAACTCTTGACATCATCACTAGAAGTAGCCTGAGGATCATCAGAGTCTTCTTTGAAGACTTGGTAGTAATTTCCACTACAGACAAATATTCTGCTGAAAAAAAGGTTTTGCCTCTGCCCCCTCTGTCCTGCGGGCAGTGATAAATAAAGAATTGCTGCAAAATCAGATTACTTTTAATCTGACATTTCATACGTTCTGCTGGGTGAGGGCAAAGGGAATCACAGAGTCGTTGAGGTTGGAAAAGACCTCAATGAGTGATTAACCCTCTGTCTGTGCAGAGAGTTTATTCTCTATTCTACCTGCTCTTCTGAAATCCTTAATATGGTGATCCTGTGACTGAGGGGTCAGTGCCCCAGATGTGTGTGTGAACGTGGATAAATGTGCTGGGGCTGTTCAGTGGAAAACACCCGAGTTCCTCCAGCTGGGATCCCACCCCTCAGACACCTGGTACACACTGGGAGCCCCACAGAGCTGTGGGTAAAAAGCAGCAATTCTGACCAGCCCCTGGCAGCCCTGGGTTGCAATAGTGGCCACATAATTTGTGACATTATTAGAGTTCAGCAGAGTCCAGGAACTCCTGGCTGATTTTGACCTCTCTAAATATGTCCCTCTCTGAATCATGCAATAAAACAATTGGAGAGTTTGAGTCTGCCCATATAACAGGACCACTGTGAGCCCTGATAGGTGTGGGGTTCCTTCTGGTGCTGAGCTCAAGATAATTTTAAAGAAAAAGAAGTATAGAATGCTTTCTTTTGGGTCTTTGGGTTGTTTTGTTTCAGACTTTCAGACTGGCTGTTTAGCATTTTGCTCAAAGAAAAGCCCAGCTCACACACATGGAAGATTGCCAGGGACTCTAATCCCTATTTTGGTTAAATTACAGTACCCAGATTTCGGTAACAAAGCGCATTGATTTTATATTCAAAAAGATTTTTATATTTAGTCTGCTAACCTTTTGTAATTCCCACCCACAGCTCTGCACTGGGGAACATTTTGATGCTAATTGTTGTCAGTGGGGAATCTGCCCCGGCCCCTTGGGAATGTCAGTGCAGTGAATGCAGTGCAGGTGCTGGAATTGCAGCTCTGGAATTGTCTCTGGGCACAGGGATGGCTCAGACAATTCCCTTCAAACTGCACTGGAGAACACTTAAAAACATAAATCTGGTAACCAAAGATAACCTGACATCATATCTGCAATAAAGAAAAGAGGTGGGAGAATTCTTCCCCTCATTTCCAAGGGGGTTTTCCAGACTCACAGTTTAAATCACTCCTCGCTGGGCAGATTCTGATTCGAGAGTTACTGTGCAGTTTTGAGAAGTCCCTTTGGGTTTAGGTGTTTGTGGGAATTCTTGTCTGGTAGTCCCTGGAAGTTGGTGGAACATCCCAACCCAGTGGATACGAGTGGGAATGGAGGGAAAAGGAGGGTTTGTGCTCCGAGCCCAGATCCTGTGGGTGACACTGGACACGTTGTTTCCTTCAGCCCTGCTGTCCTCAGGATGAGACAACAGCACTGCTTGTCCTTCCAACAACTCCAGCCAGACTGTCCTGGGATCTCAGTGGGCACATGGGTGTGTTTGCAATCCATAGGAAAACTCAACATCCTTCACTTTGCTGGAATCTTCATTACACTCTTTGTAAGATCTACGTGGGGCAGAGTTAATGATTATGCAACAGCAGTTTGTTTGGAATACACAATATGCTAAAGTACTGCCTGGGAAAATATTTTAAATACAGAGCAGTCATTACATTTATTAAATGATTATAATTTTAGTGGGTTTGATGAACCCTCCCCCTGAGTGAAGTCTTTGTTTCCACAGAATGCTTTAATATGGATGAGAGTCATTCTCACAAGAAAAATCTTTGGTGAACTGAAGTTACTATACAGAGGAAAAAGGGAAATTTAGGGTCAAAAATAGAAGATTCTTATAATCTTCACTGTAAGATAATTTTTTTTTTAAATCAAAACCAGTTGAATTCAATTTTAATTTCCAAGGATTGTATTAAAACTCCCCCCCCGCCCAACTCGAGGCTGTTTCCTCTTGTCCTGTCCCTTGTGGCCTGCAAGAAGGGCCTGGCACCCACCTCCCCTTTTCACTTTGCCAAAGCTATAAATGAAATAGGGTCACGTTTGGGGGTTGTTTGCATGCACACTCTTGCACTTTTTGCATGTCCTGATGTGTTTATTTGTGCTCTCAGAAGTTTGGCCTCTGCAGCAATGCTAATGGGATCATAAATTTTAAAGCATGTTTGCTTCTATACCACTGTTCTGCTGAGTGCATTATTGGGATGTATCACACTTGATAATTTTCTTTGGCATCAGTCCAGTAGTGAAATAGTCCTCAGCAACTTGAGTTAATAGTACTTTATTTAACAAAAGTTAAATATATTTTGTTTTCTGCTGAATAGATCGTCTTTTATCTCCTTCCCCCCCCTCCTTAATGAACAAATCTCTTTGGTGAATTGACTCCAGCATTAAAGACTAATGCAGTGTGTCTGGTCACCTTTAAATGAAATGTCTATCACCCCTTAGGACCAATAACCCTGTATTTTTAAAAAACTTCAGTTAAACGAGGATGATCTTGCAGCATTTCCCCTGCTACAGCCAGAGGAGAACTCTCTGTGGGATGTGAACAAACATTCCCCTGCCTCTGGGGGGTCACAGCCCCCCAGCCTTTCTGAGGGCTCTTCCCTGCCAGGGCTTTCTCCTTCCTTCCCCCACCCACCCCAGCTCCGGGCTCGATGTCCTGCACAAGTGACTCGTGTGCTGTAATTGAATGGGCTGTAAAAAGATAATTAATTGATATTTCGCTCCCAGAGAGGTCAAGCTGCCCTCTCCTGAAGGGTGGTTATGGAAGGAGTCGTGCTGGCACTCAGCCCTCAGAGGGGGCACAGGAGCTTTGTCTTGCCGGCAGCAATAATTGTTGTAATTAAAATTAACATGAAGGGGGGACTTAAGGAGTGATTCTCTGATTTAGATGCTTTAGCTTCGCTTGAAAGCTTGTGAAACTGGAATTTATTTTAATGCCTGGCACAAGGCTGTGCCATTTGCTGCCTAAACCTTCCTGTGCCACGTTACCAGTAATGTGGGAGCACAGAAATACCACTGTAGGTGTGTAAATTTGAGATGGCTGATGTGAAATCCTGTCAGGCACCTTGAAACCATTGATTTTAAACACGTCTCTTTGAACAGCTGCTTATTGTGAGATTATTTCAGCTGAAGATTGGCATGAAGAATTCTTTCAGTAAATGGATTATCCAAATGTAGGACTTCACTGATGTTTAAGAGGCTCTTAAACATTTCCTTTGAAACTGTGTGTGGCACAAGAGCTATCAATTAACAATATAATAATATTAAACCCACATTAAATTTAGTGACACAGGAACCTTTCTGAAACTGTTGGTGCATTAAGAGCCTGGAGTTATCCTGGAAGGAGTGTGGTTCTCACTCATTGCCCAGAGAATAAATACTGCTACTACAGCAAAAGCTAATGGAGAGAGAGATGTTATTTAATGTCCTTGCAGAGGCAAAGACTTAACTTTTATCACACCTTATAATGATAAAGTTACAGCCCTGTGGAGAGAACTGCAGCATTCCCAGCTGGAAAGTCCTTATTTAAGGTCTTCTAGGTGGGATAAAGAATTGCAGGGGGAACACAACCCTTCTTTTCACTCTTCAGCCTTAATGTAAAATTCCATATTTGCATGGATACAATACATTAAAATGAGGAAAACAATGGTGTAGGCATCTAATTCCTGGAATAGTCCAGAAAATAACCTGTTCTACAAACTGAAGCTGTATTGGGAAAATTCTGGGGAAAAGCCTAGATCCTATTGTTTGAACTGAGAAAGTAGGATGTACCCATTCCCAAAGTTCAGGTACAGATAACTATTTACTATTTATAGATTACTGTTTGCTTCACTCCCAGTGAGAATGTTCCAAAAGGGAAGAGCAGATGAGAGTTTCAGATCAGACAATTTGTTCCAGCTTCTGGTTTCAAATTCTTTTGACTGTTGAGTTGTACATTCTGGCTTTTGTCTTTTCACTGCAGGGGATGCTGATAGTTTTAGTGACCAGGATCTAATTTTGCTTACAGAAATAAATAATAGGAAATCACGAGAGAATCTTAATATATGTAAATCAAACCCCAGCATAGTCAAGTGCTGATGATTTTGCATTTGTTCTTAAGTTACAAATGCAAAGGAAAACACTAGCACATCATAAATTACACCAGTTTTGGCACTTTCCCGAAGCACTACAGAAATACTTCTTTTTTTTTTTTTCCCCTGCAGAAAGGAGGCAAAAAGCCAAGTGGCAGGAGATCTGCTGAGAAAGCTGAGGATGACAGTCTCGCAGGGGAGGATGGAAGGCAGCAGGTACGTGTGAACCAGGACTGTGCTGCTCAGCTGGGGGCTGCTCCTGCCCAGGGCAGGTTTGAGCCCTGCAATCCCCCACTCCTGGCTGGGGGGGCCCTCCTGGACAAGGGCCCTGCTTTTTGGTTCCCTGACCCCTCTTTTATCACATTTTATGCCAATACACCTTTTATTCCCTCATAACCTTGGCTTGTGCTTGCAAGAACGGTTTTCAGCCCTTAACTTTGGAGAGTGGTTGGTGGTGGGGTTTTGGTGGTTGGATAGCTTTTTGAAGTGCTTTTTTTGTGTTATTAGATCTTTCTAATGACGTAGGTGGGGGGGCTCACTACACTTTTATAATTGCCATCAAATCTACTTTGCCTGGTTTTTCAGGTAGGAAAACTTTTCCAGCCAAGTTTTGCAGTCTGCTCTGATGACTGCACCTAACCTTGCCATTACATCCAAAGTTGCCACTTGGAAACTGGTGTGTTTAAACAAACCTCTATAATTGCATTTCATAGGATGCATACAGTTAAAAAGAAAATAATTACCTAGAGAGGAAAAACTTCTCTGCTTACTGTGTTAGTCAAGTTTTGAAATGGTGGGTTGAGCTATGGCAATGCAATAATTATTGTTTATGCAAGCACAGAAAATCTTTGCTCTCTGCAAAAATAAACCACTAAAAAACACCAGTCTGAGTTTACTGAAAGTCTGGGGTGGAATTAGGTGTTGAAAGTATATTCTGACCCTCTGTGGTGTTAATGGATGAGAAGTTACCCCCAGCTGTAGATTTTCAGTGCGTCACTGATGTGCTTTCACTGTTTGAAAACAACACCAGTGTTACATTTTTTCTGTTTGATAGGCAAGAATTAACTAACTGGATAAACTAACAAGAGTAAACTGTCATTTCAAGTGGAGTGAATAAACCTTCCTTTTTATGAGTGCCATCTGAGAGCACAGTAAATAAAGCCTCTGGTTTTCAGTAACTGTTTAATCGATGAACAGCTCCGAGAGCAATCCTGGCTCCTTCCCTGCCCCAGCCCCAGATGTGCTCCCAGCAGGGCTGTGGTGGGAGATGGCAGGCAATGAAACTGCAGCCACAGCAGCAAGGACTGGGGGGAAATGAAAACTCCTGACTCAGAGGAGCAGGGCAATGGCAGAAAGACTCCTCATTATGGATCTCTTCACGGGGAGAAGAATGACTGGTAAATGAGGTTTGTGTGGCACAAAGAGGATGGAAATACAGTTGGACTCAGGCAGAAATTGTGCTCACTGTACAAAACAAACAGAGGAGTAGGGCAGGGCTCATTTGCATTTCTCAGCTGACACAGTGAGCAGGGAGGTGGAGATCCTCTGATCTGGGAGATGCAGCAGTTCAGAGAAAGGTGTTGTTTAACTTTCCCATTATTTGGGTTGTGATGAACGTGACTTTTACTACAGCCTGTTATTACTGGAAACTTGTTCAGTGTTTGCTTTAATTTCTTTGCTGTGCAGTAGTTACAAGCTCTTAAAATGCTGCCTTGAGCAGGTCTGCCCTGGGGACTGATTGTCACCTTTGTCACTGGTTCAGCAAAGCACCAAACCGTGATGGGGGGACTCGCTGCCGTGAGCAGACACGGTGATCCCATGCCCCTGCCCCACTGAGCTGCAGTAGTTTCTCTGGAGCAGACAAGATGTTTTCTCACCTTTAACCACTATGAGAAGTCATGTTCAGGCCACAGCAGACAGGACAATGTGCACTGGCTGACCACAGAAATCAGAGGTGTGGAACCCGGGCTAGTGGGAGGTGTCCCTGCCCTTGGCAAGGGGGTGGAACTGGATGGTCTTTAAGATCCCTTCCAGCCCAAACCAGTCTGTGATTTATGAACTATTTAAAGCACATCAAAAGAAGCTCCATTTACCACATGCAGCAAGTGTGTCCCTCACTCTTGCAGTGTGACCAGGCAATCCAGTGTAGACTGGGGGGGTTTTTTAACTTGAATGGCCTCACGTGGCTGCATTCCAATCCCTCAGTCTGAACCTGGTTTGCTTATCCTATTAAGTGGCCTAAGGAGTTGCAAATTCCCAGATTTATGGATCTAGAATAGCTGGAGATGCCTTCATATAAGACACCATCTTGTGTGGTCTGTCTTTGGGCATAAGACATTTTAGTGCTTGTTTTAGTGCTCGAAACACAAAGAAGTCCAAAGTCTGTTTTTCATCAAGATCCTAATTTTTAGATGGACTTCCATCCATCCTGTGATGTGAAGGATATATCCTTGTGTGCTGAGGAGGGTTCAGGTACCCAAGAGGCTCTAGAAGTACTTGACTTTTATGTATTTTCTCCAATTAAAGACCAGGAATAGCAGAAATGGTCAGCGTGTGCAGGAAAAGCCCAGTGCTGAGTCTCAGACAGGTCACTGGCAGGTGTCTCACCGGGGATCTCACCTCTGCTGATCCCATCCAACCCACAGCAGGGCACACACCGAGTTATTAATTAGCTTCACCCCCAATCAGCCCCTGCCCGCAGTGGCTCCATTATCACAGTGTGTATTTCAAACAATAGAAATGATTGAAACAGGAACTCCTACATTTCTGAGAAGATTAAGAATGGCACACCACCCTGTAATTTAGGTAGTTGTGCAAGTTTTCATTTGCATTAGCAGAGTAGTGCAGATTGTGTTGAATTATTCCATTAAAATATCTTCAGGTTTTGAAAGATTTCCTGTGCCATCTGTATGCTGTTTATTTTGGCGTGTTCTGGTGCCGTGGTGATGGATTTTGTGGTTGTTTTAAGTGTCTGTGTCTTCAGATGAAGATAAAACTGAGCTCCATTAATTCCCCAGAAGCCCAGAGAGTGGCACATTTGAGTCTCAGTGCTGGTTTTAAGCCTTGAGAGCCACCTTAAAACTCTGAGTGACATTTATAGAATAGCTGAATTTAATTTTAAATCTATCACTCAATTCCATTTCCTTTATTAGTAAAATGAACTTCTTTCATATGTGACACTGACAGTTACTGCAAGCAGAGATTTGTTGTCACATATTTTTGTTTTCTTCTGTTATGTGGTAAGTAGGGTCAAGATTGTGTTATGATTAATTCAGAATAGTTGAAATTTGTATTTAACTGAAATCTGGATGAAGCTGGTTGATGTAGATTTATTTTTCTGTGACTTTGACTGGTTTAGCCAGGGTAGTACTTAATGAGGCCAAAAGGGGAAAATGGACATTACAGAGTCATGTAATGTCTTAAGATTCTTTCCATCTTTTTTGTCCCTTTTGTCCCTCCACATTCTGAGCCCTATTTTCAGTCAGCTGGGTACTTGTTAAAGCAGGATAACACAGGAGGATGTGAATTTTCAGTGTCACTGCAGAGATCTTCCTTACCAGGACTGTTGCTGGGAATGCTTCTGGTTAGGAAAAGCAGCAGTTGAAGGGTCTTAGTCAGTACTAAAAGTTGGTTTCAGTACTAAAACATTAGAAGGACTGGAACTTACTTGGCCCTCAGTTGTGAACTGCAGCTCACACCAGTGCTGCAGATTTGAATTCAGGAATTTGAAGGACAGTAAAGTTGTAGAATTGGGCATTTGTTGATAAATGACAGGGCTCTACCATCTTCTTTTTCCCCATCAAAGCATTTGATTTTAGCTTTATAAAAAGCCTTGTTTTATACATGATAGTGTGTTGTCACCTGGGATATGCAGAGCTGTTGCAGCCAATGCCACACAGACCTGCTGTGGCTGCAAATAAAGATTTCTACAATTTCAGGACAGCAGGCAGCAAACAAAACATTTTATGTTACACTTTGTACTCTGGACTTTAATATTTCATGTGCAATGTTTCATCACAAAGTGGAGGTGCTGTGGATGAGTTACATGCCAGTGGAAAGCTGGTTCCTCTAACCTCAAGACACACTTCTTTATTCCGTTAGACATTTGAATACATTGTTTTAAATAGCTCCCTCTCAGCTGTTGAGGTGGAAGCAGCTCTTGTTGTTTTTCCATAGCAGAGGTCACTATGCATCAGGGTCGTCAGGTGGCTGGCAAATAAAACTTAAAATAAGTGTCCCACGGCCATCCTGCTTTACTTGAAAAGGATTCTTTTAGTTGCCTGGTCATTTTATTCCTGCAGGAAAAATTCCTGGCATATTGTGGAATTTCAGTGTGAGGGAGATCCCTGTCAATCCACGAGGAACATGGAAGTGGTGTGTGGATCTGGGCTGGAAGAGGAAATGTCAGCTCCCTGTGTTATTTGTGCTGAGCAACATTAGTTACCTGCCTTGTGATTGGGAAGGAGCAGAGCCCAGCCGAGCCTGCTGCCATCAGCGGGATGTGAGCAGAAAGTTTGCAGGATGACCTTGTGAGTGATTACTCATCTGCTGGCTGTTAGGAACAGGCACAAATGGAATGTGACATGCATTAGAACACATTAATGATTGCCTTCCTCCCTCCATCCTCTTCTGTACAGAAAAATGATTTTAATTAAGACTTCCGTGATTAGTCATTTAATCAGTCATTAGGCCAATACAGATGGAGTCAATTAATTTTTTTACACTTGAATAGAGACTTGATGCTACTGCAAAACGTACAAGCTATTTTTTTTTAACATTGTATCGTGGGCAATTGCCTCGGTGTCTGTCTGGGGAGTGGCACTACTGCTCCCCAAACTGGGGAGCTGTACAGCACACGGGTGTTGTGGCAGCCATAGGTATGTTCTGTTCCATGCTGTCCAAATTTCAGCGAATCCCTCTGGGTTTGAATTCAGACTGACAGTTGTTCTTCTTGTGGAGTGTCCTTGATTTTTCAAAGAGCAACGTGGCAGAGTTGCCTTTTAAAGCATGTTCAGCATCTCCTAATGTGTTTTATTACAGATGATAACGCTTTGTGTTTCAGTGCTAAATTTCATGCAAGAATTTCAAATGTTTGATGAACTTAAGGGCCTGTTTTGACTTGGTGTGGGAAGACTTTCTGTGCGCTTGGCTGACGCAAAAGAGTGAATTGCAAACAAGATGCAAGTTTGCTCCATCAAACAATACCCTGCTGTGCC